CGCGCGAGGTGACATGTATGTGCAATGTTGCTACTTGCTTGTACTATGTCTACGGACGGACACGGGTGTGTGCGTGCGTGTGAAAAACACGATGATAAAATAAAAACCTGCGCACGCGCGATTGTGCGGAGGGGCAACATGGCGGAGGCGCAAGGCCGTCGTCATCATCGTCACCGTGCGCCGCCGACAGTCGACGAATGCCGAATTGGACGATATCTCTACGTGTGGCCGACGGCCGTGTGGGACTGGGACAGTGGGACAAGAACACACCACACGCGTCACACGCACTTCGTTTAATAATATACTCATCGTAAATTCATACGTCACTGGAGGGCGGGGTGCTTACTGCTTCTAAATTTTAAGTGTGCCTATAGTACATTAGTACCTACCACTACCGACAACTTTACGCTCTGCAGTGATGACTGAGGGGACTCAATTGATTTTTTACTTTTCCCAAGTGTGGGACTGAATATTAGAATATTTTTCGTCTACACCAACTCATTTCTGCATATGTATGAATCAATGTGGTAAACTACCAAAAAGTCCAGTACATAATATTATAATTATGGCTCCTATTTTTGTTGTTTCAACAGTGTTGAGTATGAGAACCACAGGGGATCCCAAAAATTAACTGATATGATGGGCCCAGGCCCTATTTGGTTGTTCATTGGTTCAAATTTAAAAAGATAGAAATATCATTTTTTTAATTTGGTAAGATACCTGATTTTTTAAATTTCTTGTTTGTCAGTCATACATATTATTCTCCTAGTACATAATATTATATCATTACCTATGCAAAATTCCAAAATACACAATACTACTAATTTACATGTAGGATGTATAAGTGCAATTGCAAATCAAAACTTCATTCAACAAAAATATCTTTAAAATGTAAATAATATGCATAGGCGCAACTAAGATTGAAATTCTGGGGGGCTACAATGGTACATCCCACCTAACAAAACTATTAATTTAAAATAACCCATAGAGTATATCTAAATCAATAAGGAATATTTGGGGGGCTAAGTTCCCTAGTTGCACCACTGATAATATGTTTAAATAAAAGGTTATAGGTACTAAACATTTCAAATACTATATATTTTTAACTTTATAAATTAATGTACCCTAAGGGCCGCTAAGCCCCTTTATTAAAAGTGAGGTTTTAGGGCCTCAGTTTGACTATATTCAACAATATTATCGTCACTATAGTGGCACTTACGCCACTGCTGGAATTTATGTACCTATTATCGAATTACATAAATAACGAACAGTCAGTGCCCACTTGGGAGTGATGTATTTCTAAAATAAAATTGAGGCCCGTGGCTTAGGTATATAATATACTATACTATAGCTAATCCCACGCACTTCGTTGCCCGTAAAAAAATTACAACTTTAATTAAAATAACTCTTTCAGGGTGCAACTCAGCCTCCCTGGTAAGCAATCCGACTATGTCGGATCGAGGACAAAATGTGCGCCAGCATATCAAGTAGGCAATGTGAGAAAATTTGATTTGATGCATGCTTGCACCTGATCTGACCGATTAATATTCATTTAAAGTTCGAATTTTGACAACATTTATCAAATTATTAAAACTTAAAATAATTTTGTAGTTAAAAATGTATAAAATGTTCAACTTTTATAGCTAAGTAAGTAAGTTATTCTGTAACCAAAAAATCTCAAAAATATCAAAACATAGTTTTTTTATAATTATTTTATGTTCAAATTTGAAGGAAATTAAAATTAAATACCAAGTAACCAAGAAAAATGATTTTAGTTAGTTTGTTGTAATTTTGTAATATTAATTATTCAACTTACCGGCTACAGTATTAATAATAAGTAATAACAATATAAATATAATATTAAATATTACACTGACAAAGTGACAAACCGTCACCGCTCAGAATCGTTTTTCGTATATTCAATACCTAATATTATATCATTGAATTGAAATTAAATACCATCCATTATACAGTGACCCACTTGTACCCTACTGTACAGCAGAGCGACATCCACTTGCCCACCTTTTTATATATTAGATAATATTATAGATTAGAGGTATGCCTTTTTCACGTACCTGTCGTACCTTTAGAGGTGTAGCTACACACCTATAGGTGACATTGTGACAATGGTAAAAAACTATACCATAAGTCAAAATAAACATTTTCTCGCTTTCTTAGAAACTTCGAAATTGTAATATTTTATCGTAGGCCTAATTATCAATCATGCAAATGAAGTATGATATATTATATAAACTTTAAGGAGGTATTTTTTGGAAGTTTCTTGAAGTATACTTATTTTTACAAAAAATTCAAATGTCTACAAAAAAAATCTGTAGGTATATCTTCATATTTTTTAGATTTATAAATTTATGAGAAACCTTTTATAAAATGTTTAAGCTATAGCTATTATAATTGAACATTTTGTAAACTTTTAACTGTATACAATATAATTTCCATTTTTCGTGATAAAAAATATTACTTTAAATTATGTATACGGACAATTATATATTATAAGGGGAACAAACATTTTTTTAAATATTTGTATTGGGTCTGTTTATGTACAAGATTAATATTTACCTATTTAAATATAAGCTTAAACTAAACAAAATCAACTTAAACCATGATGTATACTTAACGTTTTTTAAAATTTAAATAAAGCTGTCTCATGTAAAATGTTAAAATATAATCAACGATATACATATTGCGACCGCCTTCGACGAATGTTATATTAAAATATATAAGTTATAAAATTAAACATGATACCAATATAGTTAAGTTTCGTTGAACTCTCGCCTGTATTTTATTTTAGTCTTTGAGAATCTCCTTGGCCGTCACCGCTGCGCCGCGTGGGGGCCCGTGACGTGGTAAAAGCCCGACGGTCACCAACATTTTTATTATTGTCAATGCCGACCGTTTTTAAGGAGTTCAATATAGGCAATTTTCTATGTGTGTGCACGCGGGTTGCGTAAATTGTGTGTGTAGTAACTAGTAAGTGATCATTAATGTGAGTGAGTGTGTATAAAATAAATTATTTGAATTTTAGATATGAATATCAATTATCATCAAATAAAATATGTAAAATTTGATTTTGTAGGCAACAGATAATCTTTAAAATTATAATATACTGAAGACTGAACCTATTTCAATTAAAGTTATATCGACCAATTAATTTAGTTACCTACTCGGGGAGTGCGTCTTATCCAGGAATTCTATCAACCACTAGGTATATAGTGCCAAATACACATGAATTTTGTCTTCAAAATACAAAAATTGCATTTTATTTGTTTATTTCTGTTTTTGCAATTGGAAATTTTTTACTTTTGACCCCCCAAGTACAACTAGATTTACTTCACTACCAGAAAATAGATATTTACATTTAAAATCAAAGCATATTTTCTACTGTAAAGTTTTTCAAGACAAAAAAAAAACATATCATTGTAAATAAATACATTCACTGATCCGCACAGAATCTAAAATTACCTAAGTATAGGGGAAGTCGGAGTTTTTACGCAAATCCTTTTTTTCGGTACAGTTGTTTTTTTATAATGATTTATCATCAAACGATTTTTATTATTATTTGAAAAAGACGAATCGCTGAAACTTTAAATTATCCATTATTACTTAAATTATCCTTTTCAATACACAATGCCATTTTAAAAAATTTTGGACTAAATTAAAGCCATTTAGATAGGCACTTGCAATTTTTTAATTTTTTTAGGTTTTTCTTTAAATCTTGGTAAACATTTTTATATTACATCAAAAAGCTTAACAATTTAATAAAATATTCCTTATAAGTTGCACTTATAGCTTATTCATATAATCTTATACCAATTAAAATATATAAAAATATATATGCTTACCTAGTACTTAGTAGATATTTTATTTTATAAGAGTTTTTAGTTCAAAAATTTATTATAATTACGTCAAAATCACGAAAAATGGCAAGTTATTTTGTAGGTAAAAAAGTCTCATAAGTATTTCTTACAGCAATCTAAAAATTATAGAAATACATGAGCATATTTTATTGTATATACAATAATAATTAAATACAAATTATTTTATTATTAAATAATCATATTAATTATTAAGGCTCGTTTGACTTGCTTTATTTAGTGTTCACCTCGATTTTTTGTACTATTTATTTAATTTAAATTTGTATCTATATGTTTAGATATTCTATAGCATCTAACTGCTTCTGTAACTATAGTTACGTGAATAATATTATATGCAGGTAATCATTTAATCTAATTTCGGTCGATAAATTGTTTTAAAAAATCGTAAAAAATATGTAGGCATAATATGTTAGGTTCCTGTAGTCATATTCATATACGATATACATATAGGTATTATAAATTATAATTAACTTTATAGCATATATCAATATAATTGTACAAGCTAATATATAATAAAACCTGATAAAAACTTGTGTAGATTATGTTAATATAATATATAATATTTATTTTCGATTTTATTGCATTGCAGACAGGTTAGTTGCCTCATAATTTAGGTTAGGTACAGGTACCTGCCTAAATAAGACGGGCAAAGCTCAAGAGCATAGATTAAACATAAAATAATGTTATAGATAAGCATGTAATACATTGGTATAAAATAATGTATAATTTAATGTTTTAATTGAAATTGCGGACCCATAGATAAATTATTATTAGGTACCTATACCTAATATACGTATATAGGTAGGTACTATGTAATGTTATACCTATACTAGCTACTATATTAATCTATTTAATTTCTTATTCTGTTTCTTACTATTCAGGTCAAAGTGAAAAGCTTTTAAATTGAGTGAAGTGATGGTTAAATATAATATAATGTATACCTACACAATTAATAATTATCAATATATATATATATATTTCTTCTGTCCGTGTGTAAGTATTCAAACTCTTTCTAAACGACTACACCGATTTTTATGAAATTTGTTGTGTGTGCTTGAGCTTTACTTAGTGGGTCCTTGAATGGTTTAGATTCACAATTGGACCCATTAAGCCCAATCAGGGGAGGTCTTCAAACAGGGATTTGGAGATTTACGATGGAATTTATAATGGTTGCTATTTTTATAGGAGAATAATTAGTAAAATTCGCGTACGTAGATGGATTCATCAATCGTTTTCGCAATCCTTTAGCTACATCAATACTGGCACGTTTAGGGGTGTGGGGGGGGGGGGTAAGTTAGTTCCAGGCGACAACTACAAGTCATTAGTGGTCATTTAAATGATATTTTTAATTAGGTTAGACAATAAATACATTTAATTATTTTAATATATTATATATAAATATATGCTAAAGCATAGAGTTTAACTAACTAAGTAGACCGAATACCTAAGTAACAGACTAATGTAGGTTTACTACGATACTATGCAGCTTATAAATACAATACTTCTACTAAAACTAATATAATTATATACATGTATATGTATATGTGGCTACAGTCTACAGATCACATGATATTGTGTGCAGACTTGTAGCAGCTGTGAGTTGTGACTACTATTTTGGAGTGTGACCACCCACCCAGTGTTGCGATGAATGGTAATTTCAGAGGCAATCACCTCTGAGATTTGTCTTAAATAGATGGGTGAGTGGTAGCTGGTGAATCCCCTGGTAAATGTAAAAAATACTTGGGATATTTGTAACTCGCCTCTTGAAAATTTTCAGCTCACCGCGCGCCACTGCACCCACCCAATTAAATGTATTAATTGAATTTACCGATACAGAAAAATAATTGAAAACGTTACAATTCTTTAAATTTTTAAGAATTAATTTTTTTTTGGCCCATTTCTTATAACACAAACCTAAGAAAAAACTTCAGGTGTAGTGTGGGCTACAAGCACATCCGTGGGCACTCGCCTATGCTACCAATATAAGTATTTAGAGACTTTAATAGACTGTACGACTGTCAGGACTATAATAATATGTTCCAGAAATCTGAATTCTTTCATTGTCTATTGTCTATTATAATAGTAAACTCATTCGGCTGTCTATTCGTGAAACACAGTAAGTGTATTTCACAAAATTGTTTAGGAGAAGCAAATTAGTGAAGGTGCTGTCCATGCATCTACATGGCGAACTAGTGTATATAATTGACCATATCTCATAGTACCTACAGTAGGACCCACGGTTAAAGATATAAAGGATCTTTAACCGTGGTAGGAGTGTAGGACCATAGTAACAATTTTGATACCATTATAACCGGAATACTATGTGGAACAAGATGAAAGAAAAAAACGTAAATTGATAAGGATGTCATGTCCTCCCCCTCAAATCCGCCACTGATTTATATACATTATACATATATGTACAACGCTCTAGTTTACCACGTCTTTTATGAATTTATATTTTTTTTTCTAGGAACTTAAGTATGTTAATGAGTGTATACATAAATACGGATAATCGAGAACCTTAAGTGACTATATCTTAGAAACACACCAATTTTTTTCAGATTTAACACTCATAATTTCAAGGATCAATGGGGCCCCGGGACACCATACAGTTAGTGGGGCCCCTTTCAACTTTAACTTCAAAATAATTGTAATTGTATCATTACATATTAACGATTTTATATTTTTGTATAATTGTTTACCATACAAAAAATATACAGGGTATAAAATCTTATAGCTGGTTTTTTTTTAACAATTATAGATCGATGATATAGAATTTCGTTAAAACAAAAAAAGACGTGGTCTTTATTTTTAACTGGCAATTTTTTATAATATTTTTAAACACACAGTTGTAACAAATATAAAATTTACTTCATTTTTTCAAATTGTAACCATTATATTTTTCGATGGATTCTGGTAAAGCTTTTATTCTGAACATATTGACAGTCAAATGATCGATTTTGGTTAGCTAGGTCAGTGGCGTCCGCAGGGGTGGAACCCTCCCCCCATTGCCCGTATTACTATTAATTTATCAAAACAATATTTATCAAGTTTCAACTGTCTATAGTAAGCAAGACGTAAATTTCATATATGTCTTACCAGAATGAATTCATTTTTGAAAAACCATTGTATTTTCATAAATTATCTGTAATTCTTCGGTACAAGTATGAAAGACTGTATAAAAGATCTTGAATTAAATTTTCTAGCCTTAGCTATACACATTTAATATTTTATAAGTGTTGAACTTGAACTACAAATGAAGTGTGGTTTGGACGAAATTTGAACTTTAAATGCTTATAAAAAATAACCATGATGCTTATGTATCGTTAATATTTTAGCTATAGTAAAAAACTTACGTATTGCATTTTTAGGAACAAATGCACTTTACCAACGCATTCAAATTTTTCGATTTTTTTTTTTTTTGGAACTTCCTCTTATTAACTATTTGAGAACAATAGTGCAATCAGAATTAGTTTCGAAGTTATGTCCTAATGAAGTTCACTATTTAACGATATTTTCGCATTCGCTCGTCACTACTGCACCTATTACGAATACTGATTTTTTTTTTTTGTACACCTGTTAACTTCAACGAGTTGGAATTCTGAATTTTTACTCATACGCCTCCCTACGCTCTAGAAGTTCCCTACGCTTACCGGCTCCGGTCGCCAAACTCGAGGTCCTTTGTACCTCTCGCTGGATGGGTACTCGGCCCCCAAACCCCCCGTTGCTTAATAGCAAACCTGGGGGAGGCGACCCCTTCGGTATTCTGTGGTATAAGTGGTATAACTTATCCAATAATACAAGAATAGAGATTGGTATATTGGTTTATAATATTTAAATGTATTAAGTTGTTATTTATCAGTAATAATAATTATTATTAATAGTTTCATCAGAATGAAAATAATTACGGTCTAATGGCTTGTCATTATAGTCTGTTGTAATATGAATTAAAAATAACCATTTTTAATTTAAGACATAAAAGGTAGGTACAAATGTATTATATTATAAATTATAATATAGACAGTAGTTGTAGACACGGTAGTATTATAGTACGTTATTTTTCTATGGTTATACCTTTATATATCTACATATTAGGTAAACATTATTATTATGATTAAATTTAAATTTAAATTTTTACAAATTAGACGTCGTTAAATACTTAAATCACAATAATTCACAAGAGACCCGGAATATTTAAATTCATTCGCTTTTACTAGAGAATATTATAAAGAAAACACATTCTTGTCTCATGTACTCAATTTTGGCGGTAAAGATTATTTACTCTTTAAGGTTATTATGTAATTACTGATATTAGTGGAGTTAGTGATTATAAAATCACGTTTTGTGATCCATTTATCAACAATCAAAATATATTATCATGTTTGAAATTTCCTCTTCGATTATTGACCAATGGGTATTATTTGATAGATTAGTATATTGATTATCCATATTCCATTATTAACTGACCACTATTACCACAGAATATAACAATCGCTATTAAAATATGTAGTGGTCCTCAATCGTAAATAGTAAATCGTAATTCGTAATCTCAATCAATATTATATTCTACATATTGTGATTATTTGACTACGCGAGTCTCAATCTCTGATAACTAATAATAATTACTAACTATATCGCATAATTCATTGTTATTTCTTATTAGATACTCCCGTCTCCCACAGACCACAGTAGCACAGTAGTGACGTACTTTTGCTTTCTGTCCAATATTCGTTTTGTACATTTTTTCCACGTGGTTTTACGCGATTTCAGTTTAAATACTCAGGTAGAATTTTAAGAGATGATTGATTCATATAATATTAATTTATATGATACATACATATATATTTATTGAAAATGTCAATAGATTTTTCATTTATTTAACAGAAGCTATTTATTTTTATAGATTTTGTAATGGCTAGTGTACTTGTGGTTGGTGGTGGAGGTCGAGAACATGCAATTGCCTGGAAACTAACACTTTCTTCAAAAGTAAGAATAATTTTAATTTAAAACTATAATATTAAATTGAGTCGATATTTTCTTATTTTAAATAGTCATTCCCAATGATTGGTTTTGATACTTAGTTTAGTGTATTCATTCATGCCTATTACCTAGATATAATTTTAGATGTTTACTCTATAATTTATATTAATATGCAGGTACAAATATTTACAATAGTTAAGATAATAATATAATCTGCATAAAAATGTGGTTCACTAAAATGTATGGGCTACTAAATCATGTACTAATCATAGCTGTCATCTGATTTATTAAATGTTTTTGATGGTTGTCAATGCAATCCGTGTTAAATTATTCAATTTTTTGTTCAACTGCATAAGTGACTAAATACCTACATAATTCTGCCAGGCCCAACATATTATGCTAAATATAATATATTCTAATATTTTCTCACCTAATAAATAATTTTATATTATTAATTTTATAAATGTTGTAGGCATTCGAATTAGACCCATATAAGTATATGATATTTATAGTTTTTAGAACTCTCATTCGTCATTGTATTGTAATATTTAGAAAAGTAAGATAGTTAATATTATTTTAACGCATTTTTCTTTTTACAGGTGAATAAAATTTATATTACACCAAACAATATTGGAGCTGCATCATTGCCTCAAATTGAATTTGTAGATTTGGATGTCAACAATTTTGAAGTATGAAGATAAAAAATATTATTATTATATTTTTATTAAAAATAATATCAACTGATACTGTAATTTAAAATACCTAGATTAGGAAGGTACCTTTTAAATTCTATATTAATTTTCAGTGCTATACTTTGAATATATTTTTTGATATTACTTAGTTCTTGAACTAAAACTTGCGATGCATTAATTTTTGATGACAAATCAAATTCATCAAATTATTCTAATTTCACAAACTTGTGCATGATAAAACTTGTAATTTGTATTCAACACACCTGAACCAAACCAAACTATTCATATTATGTATTAAACCCAAACTGTGACAAACTCAAAAAAATTCTAAAAACTTTAAAAATTTAAAATTATGTTGATAAAGTTATAATGAAAAATGCTAACAAAATTAATATTTACCCTAAGAATAACTATCTGATTTTATTATTGATTTTTTTTATAAAATTCAATATGAGTTAATTTCATCATTATGTACTAAAATATTTAAGAGTATGACATACACGCATGCATTGTCTCTATCTTACAAACACATAACATAGCAAAATTGTACATTCTTAATAATTCATTTAACTTTTTTATGTTTAATTTTAGAATGAATTGACCCATTACCAAATTTAGATGTAAAAATATTATCTAGTTGCTGACATAAGTATTCTTTATATTTTAATTTTATAGCTATAGTTATGAGCATTTTAAAATGTTAAATTGTTTGTACATTTTAAAATGTTCATGATTCACTTTAAAATTAAAATATAAAAAAACTTATATCATCTTTTAGATAATATTCTTACATCTAAAGTCCTAAATTTAGTAATTCACCCAAAAATTAAACTTAACAAAGTTAAATAAATCATTCAGAAGGTACAATTTGTTATATTATGTATTTGTAAGACAGAGATAACTCATGTGGATATGGCGTCCCTCAATGTTTTTCTTTTGAAACTTATTTTAATATTTAAACATCTTTGTCATTTTTTCTTTGATCTCTAATGTGATAATGTGTTGTGCGTTGGTTTGAATTTTGAGATGTTAAACAATTTTAGAACATTATGTCAAAATATAGGGCAACCAATAATTGCTGATAAAATAATTCTTGTAATAATTTAAATATTATTTTTGGAAGGGATTTTACATTGTTTTTTCTACAATTATAGTTATTAGCGAAATGGTGTGTGGAGAAATCTATCGAGTTAATCATTGTGGGTCCTGAAGATCCTCTTGCATCAGGAATTGCTGATGTATTAGCTACTTACAACCTGAATTGTTTTGGACCATCTGCTAAAGCAGCCCGTATTGAAAGTGACAAAGAATGGTCAAAAAAATTTATGGATGAATTTAATATTCCTACAGCCAAATGGAGATCATTTAATGATGTTAAACAAGCAACGGATTTTGTTTATTCGTAATTATTTCAATTAATATTATTAAATACAATTTATATAAAAAATATGATATTTATTTCATGTAAATTGTAAATTTATACTAGTGCTGATTATCCTGCATTGGTAGTAAAAGCAAGTGGTCTTGCTGCGGGCAAAGGAGTAGTAGTTGCTTCTAATAAACAGGAAGCATGCTTGGCTTTAGATACAATCTTAACAGAAAATCGGTTTGGTAAAGCTGGTCAGACTGTTGTAGTTGAAGAATTGTTACAAGGAGAAGAAGTTTCAGTATGATAATATATTAATAATAATCTTGTAAAGCCTTAAATTTATATTTGGTATTATTTTATACAGGTTTTATGTTTTTCTGATGGTGTTAATATAAATGTCATGCTACCAAGTCAAGATTATAAAAGGGCATATAATCAAGACAAGGGTCCAAATACTGGAGGTATGGGAGCATTTTGTCCTTGTTACAATATGCCTCAAAATGAGTTAGATGAAGCTAAAAATATTTTACAAAGAGCAGTTGATGGTCTTCGTAATCGTGGGACTCCTTTTGTTGGTGAGTATTTTAATTGGTCATATTTGTTTTTAAAAATTATTATTTATTTTATGGTTTTTAGGCGTTCTTTATGCTGGATTAATGGTAACCAATGACGGCATTAGAGTTTTAGAGTTCAATTGCCGTTTTGGTGATCCTGAAACCCAAACAATATTGCCACTATTAGAATCTGACCTTTTTGATATTATGAAAGTATGTAATTATTAATTACTTGAAATGTAAATTTTTTTAAACAATTAACAATTATATTAATTTATTAATGTTAATACTTTACTAGGCATGTTGTGATGGTACTTTGGATAAAGTTGAAGTTGAATGGAAAACTGATCAATTCTGTGTTGGTGTTGTCATGGCTAGTAGAGGATATCCGTTAACATCCAGTAAAGGGGATGTAATATCTGGTAAATTATGTAACTGAGTTATTAACTAATATTTAACTATACATTTTTTGAAACCTAGTTATAATTGAAAATTATTTAGGTTTACCTAGTGTAACAAAAGGCATGGTGTTTCATATGGGTACTAAGTTAAACAACTATGGGGAATTGGAAACAAACGGAGGCCGTGTATTAATTGTGGTAACTACTCATCAAGACTTAGTTTTAGCTGCTGCTAGAGCCACTATTGCTTGTGGTAGAATAATGTTTAATGGTGCTCAATTCAGAACTGATATTGCTCATAGAGGAATTGCTAGGTTTGTATTTACTTGTTAATTTTTTTATAATTACCTATATATTTTTAAATGTTTTTAATTTATTATTGTAGAGCAATTCTTGCTAAGGGTGCTACAACCTACAAGTCTAGCGGTGTTGACATAACTGCTGGAAATAATTTAATTCCAATTTATAAACAAATGGTATCTGTTACAAAACGTCAAGGAGTACTTGGAGATTTAGGTTCATTTGGTGCCATGTTTGATCTCAAAGCAGCTGCATTCCAGGACCCAATACTTGTATCCAGTTCAGATGGAGTTGGTACCAAATTGAAGGTATGGAAAATTAGAAGGATAACTATTATGTATTTCGCGCAACAAAGTTGTATCTGGCAGTTTTACACGACTGGTCTGAGTGGCTTGCATAGGTTACTAAAAAAGAACTGAGTTGTGTCCTCAATAATAATTAAAAATTATATGTTTTCTTCTAACTCTTACAGACTGAGTGCTGTCATTTATATGAATAGTGTTCATAAGAATTGGAAACGGTGATTAGCATAGGTGCAAATAGTGTTTGAGATTTATGGTGGGGGAAGGAGGCTGAAGCCTTAGCCACTCAAAAAAATATTTTAGTACTGTAGAAGTAAAAATCACTTAAAAAATTTCTCAATAGAACATATAGGTATACCGTATACCTAATTATTACAATATTATTAAAAATAAACTTATAAGTTACAACACATTTTTTTAAATGTACTATTTCATCTACTTAAAATTATATTCATAATATAAAATATAATTAATACACCACATAACACTTTAATAGGAATTATTAAAGCTGTATGGCTATGAGCAACAAGTAACAATAGATAATTATATACCTAATTATAGAACAAATTTTTATTTAAAAAAAAATTTTATTTACTTTTAATCATACTAATTAACTTATAATCATGTTTCAAATATTGAATATCAAAAAAATATACTGAAGTCCCACATAGATACTTTTGTTAAAACAAATTTTTAAGTATCCTGCATCATAAAGTATAATAATATGGATTCAGCTAAAATACTTTGAACATTTTTGTGGGGTGTAACCACTAAAACCCGCCTTTTAACCCCCTCTTATTTGCGCCTATGGACTCATTAGACTAATTAGAACTGATAAACAATAATATGTACGAGTAATTTTTTTGACAAAATCTAAACTAAATTAGTATTAGTATTTACTTTAAACTAATTGTAATATACTCTGTGTACCAGATACAAGCTTATAGCTCAGTTAGTATTTTTATCAGCTATTATTAATTAATTTTATTATAATAATTTAATCTTTTCGTATGAATTTCGTTTGCATATAACAAATATATAATAATATAAAAGGGGGACGGAGTGGCCAAGCGGTCTAAGGCGTTGGTTGCGACGCTGCCGGCGCCGGTTCGATCCCGTGGTCACGGGCGGCATTTTTCTTCGGGCAAGTCACGGTGTCCGGAGAACAAATGCCGCCATCCCCCACCCGGGCATGGCAGATACCTACGGGTGCCCAAATCGAAAATTCTGCCAAAAACCCACACACGTGTTAACAGCCTACAGTTCCCCCCCTACAGTTAACCCCACAGGCTAATGATCTTTGTTGTCGAAGCCTCAACCCTAATATAAAAAAAAAAAAATTCAACTTATTGTTACTTATGAATATCCAATATTGTTAAATACCTGTTTGCACACGGATAAAATAATAAAAACAACTTTGACAACATTTGCCAGTAATTAAGACAGTAAAATTCCTGTTCGTTATTCCTCGTAAATATTAAATTTAATCGTTAAATTTCATATGCCAATTTTGTAATTAGAAAAAAACTTTTTTATACATAAATTGTTTAGGAGAAAGTTCTCTATCCGAATATGTAAAAAAAAGTTTATGTTGCCATTTAAAAATAAAGTAAGTTATATCGCGCATGCGGGTATCGAAAGAGTTAAAAATTTGAAATTGATCTAAAAATGTGTATTTAAGTATTATCTGTCATTCAGCGAAAACCCCATTTCAATACAAGGTCATCGAACTGAAATATTTAGTGGTACCTCTTACCCTGAACACACTGTATATATTTTTTTTTTCTTGGACGGTACCATTTATTATTCATATTCACTATATTTTTATTTTTTATGCAATTTAAAGGTTGCTCTAACATGTAATAGTCATGAATCAATTGGACAAGATCTTGTTGCAATGTGTGTTAATGATATATTAGTTCATGGTGCTGAACCTTTATTTTTCCTTGATTATTATGCAACTGGTCGATTGGAAGGAGGAGCTGTTGTTCAAGTTGTTAAAGGCATTGTAGATGGTTGCCATCAATCTGGATGTGCTCTTATAGGTAATTATTTGTCATGGCCCATTCATATAATTCAAAGATTTAATATACATTTATTTTTAGGTGGAGAAACAGCAGAAATGCCAGGCCTTTATCAAAATAATGATTACGATGTAGCAGGTTTTGCTGTAGGAGCAGTAGAGCGAAATAAGATTTTACCTCATATTGAAGATATTGTTTCTGGGGACGTTGTCATTGGTTTAGAATCTAGTGGTGTTCATGCTAATGGATTTAGTTTGATTCGTAAAATAATGGATATGGGTTGTCATAAATTTACAGATGAAGCCCCTTTTAGCTTGGACAAGAAGACCTATGGTAACTTTTAATTACTCTAAGGACTACTTTTGAGGAACCTTGTTTTTTATATTTTTTAACTTAGAAAAATATGTTTGTCATTATTTATTATAAATTTAAAAAAAAAACGAGTAGGTCAGGGAGTAGTGGAAGTTTGTTCATCGTTCTTTCGGTGCTCGGACAGGATAGTGTATTATTACAGTATTTGATTTGAATGTAATGATCGCAATTGATAAAAAATGATTCTGAACGCATGGAAGAAAATGTATAAATCATGTATTATTAGGTAATTTTTAAATTTAATTCGTTTCTATGGTGATATAAAGAAATGTTGGAACAAAAAAAGGTTGGTTGTTTTTTCTGTGGTGTTAAAAAACCATTATCCAAATTGCTTAAAGATAAGATACTATATGTTGAAATAAAAGAACTCCTCCTGGTAGAAATTGTGTTTACAGGATAAAAAAAATAAACATCATTGTAAAACCACTAGCTTCCTTGCTACGCTCAGAATCTAAAACTAAAAAAAGTCAAAATAATTAAAATATGTTTTCCCCCAAAAATAAAGCATAGGTGTTGGTATGTAGTTGGCTGGATCCAATTTGCTACAAAAAACCTCCTTCAATGTTAAGTTTAAAGAATTTTTACTGCTCCTTAACATAACAACAGATAGAAAATAATACATCATTGTAAAATTAATACTCAGAATCTAAAATAAACAAGAAATGTATTAATTTTTTGATACACTTTTAATTTATTTTGACAAAAGTATATTGAATGTATTAAATTAAAATATTTTGTGATGACAATATTGTTTATTAATTATGATAAAGAACAAGTATTCAAAATTTGAAGAAATATTTCCATAATTGTTCTTTAATCTTTTCTATATATTTCTTAAAAGTTTGAATATATTTTTTAGGTGAAGAACTATTGACTCCTACAGTAATTTATGTTGAGCGTGTATTACCTTCAATAAGAAATAATAATATAAAAGCATTGGCTCACATTACTGGAGGTGGTTTAATAGAGAATATTCCACGTATTTTACCAAAAAATAAAAAAGTTATTTTAGATGCTACAAAATGGAGTATACAGCCTGTATATGGTTGGATAGCTGCAACAGGTATAATTAATATTTAGTGTCCATTATTAAGTAATTTATGTTGATTAATGTATATAATTTGGTTTTAGGTAGCATCAATGAAACAGAAATGTTAAGAACATTGAATTGTGGTTTAGGTATGGTATTAATAGTTGATAAGAAACATGTTGAAGATGTTCTGTGTGCTACTAATGGTAAAGTTGTTGGCATAGTCGAGGAAAAAATGTCTGGTAAGTTTTACCAGTTTACATAATATATCAAAAAGTATATTTAACTTTTTGTAGACTGTGTAACAATACGTATATATAATTTAGAATAAAGAGAGCTCAAAGTGTGAACTTTCATTAATACTTGTAGACGAACAATCAGTTGAAGTGAAAAAATTTGCAAATGCCATGGAACCTTTGATGCGTCCTCATATTCAGACCTATGTGGCATCTAGGATGCGTCCAAAAATGCGTGTGGCTGTTCTTATATCGGGAACTGGAACTAATCTACAGGTAAACTGTGATATTAATTTTAATTTATAATGCTCGATATACAAATTCCTTAATAATTTTTGTGATTTTTTTTTTTTTAATTTAGTCGTTGATTGATGCTACTACTGATGATCCATCTATGATGTCCGAAATTGTTTTAGTAATATCCAATAGACCAGAAGTTGAAGGTCTCAATCGTGCCAGGCGTGCTGGTATATTGGCTTTGGTAATAAATTAAAAAATTAGATTTTGCAAATGTAATTTATTCATAACGTTGGGCGAGTATTGTTTTTTGATGTCTAGTCAAATTTAAATTATTTCGAGTTGATTTGAGTTCAAAAAGTTTTAAAATATTAAACTATTAAAGCAATAACAAACTATTGTTATTGATTTAAACCATTGACTTTCCTGAAATTCTTATCTGAAATATTTGGTTTCTTTTAGTTATTTATCAGTCTTAACATTTATTTTTCAATAACATAGTGAAATGAGTACTCAATTCAATTCAAGTCGAGGACTCTTATTACAAGTGCAAAAAATGTTACTCAACCAACTCTATTTGTTTATATTTATTTGTTTAGGAAATAGATCATACTAAGTTTAAAACACGTGAACTATTTGAAGATGAAATGTTGAAGGCTTTAGATCAAACACAAGTAGATGTTGTTTGCTTAGCTGGTTTTATGCGTGTGTTAACAAATAACTTTGTGAACAAATGGAGAGGTCGTCTATTAAATATACACCCTTCACTTTTACCTTTATTCAAAGGTCTTTATCCTCAAAGGCAAGCCCTTGAATCCGGTGTACGAGTTGCTGGATGTACAGTCCATTTTGTAGAAGTAAATATTTTTATTTTTATTTTTTATTTTATTTATTTATTCCTGAGTGCAATTTTTAGTTAGAAATTGATGCTGGAGCCATCATAGTACAAGAAAGTGTGAACATGAGTTTGGACGAAACAGAAGAAAGTCTTATCGAAAAAATTAAGAAGGTGGAACACATTGCTTATCCAAAGGCTCTAAAACTGTTTGCTACTAATCAAGTTTATTTGGATAAAGATATTGGTAAAGTAAAATGGTTATCAAATTCAAGCGATGTATTTAGAAATATTGTTTAAATAACAATTAATCATTTTTACATTTATTTTATATTCAATCATTTTTATTTTATTTTTCCATTAGATATAAATATAATATAATTGTTTCTGAATACACTTACAATATTTAAAATATTGTTGCAGATTATATGTTTTTTGTGTCTAATTTTTTTACTATAATATTATGTATTTAAAAAAAAATATTTGTTGCATTTTTACACATGTCATTCTTTTGCCAATTTTGTAATTTTTTAGATTCTACAGATTTAAATATATAACAGATTATTGTTTTAAATTGTAATATGATGTATGTTTCAATAAATAAAACTACTATTTTATTTTTTTTTTTGTTTTTTATATATTTAACCAAATTTATTGAACAGTGGATGTAAATATTCTTATACTCTGGGCCATGATGGAATGCACCCTGCATATAAGGAGCAATTACTGTTTTCATTTAACTTGACTGTATGGTTATTATTTATTAAATACGGAATCTAAAAGCAACATTATTATTTTAGTGGGTATTACAATTTACAATACATTTTCATCTAAACTATTATTTGAATAAAGTATTTTAGATTAGAGTGAAACGATGAATGTATATTGATTTTACATTACAATGATGTGTGTGTTTTTTTTTGTTTTTTATTTTGTGTTTGTCATCACCTTTTAAGACAGTAAAAATTCTTAGAATTTCTTCAACAGTATCTTTTCTGATAGGAAAGTGAATTTAGTTGGTACTTTGGGGGTTCAAAAGTAAAAAGGTGGGCAAGTGGGTGTCGCTCTGCTGTACAGTAGGTTACAAGTGGGTCATTGTATAATGGATGGTATTAAATTTGAATTCAATGATATAATATCATTGTATAAGAAAAACGATTCTGAGCGGAGACGGTATGTCCTTCTAGGTAAAAGACATAATATTATATACATATCTATGGTATTAAAAAAAATTGACCTATAATGAATTCCAAATTAATCATATCACAATATCCATTAGGTACTTATAACGCGTTATACACCAACAACAAACCCTGATACTATCATAGATATATAGTAGATTACTTTAGAAATTTCGAGTACCCACGAATAATATTATACAATCACAACAAAATAACTAAAATCGTAATTCTTGGTTTAAATATGAAATTTTGTCTAAACTTGAAATTAAAATGTCTGTAAAAAATAAGTGTGTTTAAATATTTTTTAGATTTTTTGGTTACAGTATGAATTATTTAAGAGAATCTTTGTTTTAAATTTTCAACTCTTAGTTATAAAAACTGAACATTTTATAATTTTTTAATTCCAACGATTGATTATTTTCGCGATTTTGATAAATTTTGTCAAAATTCCAACTTTAAATGCTTATAAAAAAACTCGTGCCAATGTATTTTTAAAATTTTTCAACTGATATTGTAACAATATATAAGAAAGCTTGTATTAAATTTTCAGACTTTTTGGCCCAACAGATACAACTTTATTGATATTTATAGAAAAAAAAACTAAAAAAAATTGAAAGCTGTAAATGTCCATAAACAGCTCAAAAAGAGTCAAAATATTTTCAAAATTGTATGGTGTATAGGAAATGCTAATATAAACATTCAGTGAAATTTTCATATATCTATAGTTATTCGTTTATGAATTACAACAAAATAAGGAAATCGCTACATGAGAAATCGAGTGAACATCCAATGTTGTAAAAATTTGAATTTCAAACGCTCATAAAAATTTAATTTGACTGTCCGGTAGAGATTTTTTTAATGATAAAGGTAGACAAACTTATGAGTAATCTTGTATTACATATTCAAATCTTAGATTTAAAAAGAAAAATTTTTGCGAATTCTTAACTCAAAATAATTTGCTAATTTTCGTGATTTTTCCATATTTTGTCAATTTTTGAACTTTAAATGCTTATAAAAAAAAATTGTGACTAAGGATTTTTAATATTTTTCATCTGCCTTTGAAACAACATATTAGGAGCCTTCTATTAAATTTTCAAGCTTTCGCAACCAACAAATAAAATTTTATTGATATTTTTAGAAAAAAAACTAAAAAAAAATGGAAAATGAAAATGTCCCTAAACAGTTCAAAATAAATCAAAATATTTTGAAAATGTTATCGTGTATAGAAAATGCAAATATAAACAACCAGTGAAAATTTCATGTATATACGTTCATTTGTTTTAGAGTTACACCAATAACCAAAATCGATTTTTTGGAAAACCAATTTTGTGTAAAAATTCCCGTTTTTCCTTAATTTTTATGTTGTTTTTCCCGGCGCTTGTGAAAACTACTGGGAAATTTATACTTTTGACCCCCCAAAGTACCAACTAGATTCACTTTCTTATCAGAAAAGCTACTGATGAAGAAAATCCGAGCACTTTTACTGTCCTAAAACGTGATGACAGACACAAAAATAAAAAAATATAAAAATATAAAAAAAAACACACATCATTGTAAAACCAATACATTCATCGCTCCGCTCAGAATCCAAAATTTTCCAGTAGTTTTCAAAAGCGCCGTGAAAAACAAAAGAAAAATTAAGGAAAAACGGGAATTTGTACGTAAAATCTGTTTTCGAAAAAATCGATTTTAATTTTTGGTGCAACTCTTAAACAAATCACCGTAAGTACAGAAATTTTGACCGAATGTTTATATTAGAATTTTCTATACACGATAACATTTTCAAAATATTTTGATTTATTTTGAGCTGTTTAGGCACATTTTCATTTTCCATTTTTTTTTAGTTTTTATTCTAAAAATATCAATAAAATTATATTTGTTGGTTTCGAAAGCTTTAAAATTTAATAGAAGGCTCCTAGAATGTTGTTTCAAAGGCAGATGAAAGATATTAAAAATCCTTAGTCACAATTTTTTTTATAAGCATTTAAAGTTCAAAAATTTACAAAATATTGAAAAATCACAAAAATTAGCAAATTATTTTGAGTAAAGAATTCGTAAAAATTTTTCTTTTTAAATTTAAGATTTGAAATTATAATACAAGATTATTCATAAGTTTGTCTATCTTCATCAAAAAAATAATGTCTTCAAGCAAATCAAATTAGATTTTTATGAGCGTTTGAATTTCATATTTTTACGATATTGGATAATCATTCAATTTGTCATAAAGCGATTTTGTTACTTTGTTGTTATTTAAAAACGAATAACTGTAAATACATGAAAATTATACTGAATTTTCATATTTTCATTTTCTATACATCATACAATTTTGAAAATATTTTGACTATTTTTAAGCTGTTTACGGATATAGTCAGTTTTCAAATTTTTTAGTTTTTTTTTCTATAAATATCAATAAAAATGTATTTGTTGGGTAGAAAAGCGTGAAAATTCAATGCAAGGCTCCTGATATAATGTTACAATAGCAGTTTTAAAATGTTAATTTTTAGGTCTCAGAAATGAAAATTTCAAAAATTTGGGCTTCTTACGGAACCAGATAAAAATCTCCTCTATAATTTTGTTCATAGGTGTTTTTACTTTTTATGATACAACCACTCACTAACCCATATTATTGGAACGCGCAAACATGTTTTTAAAGGAATTTTTCGAGTGATTTTTTTCCCTGACACGTTCTCTTAAGGTTCCGTACGGTAAAACGGTAAAGTCCGACTCGCACTTGGCCGGTTTTTTCAACTATACAGTTCCTTCAGCTCCTTGCTTTCCATTGTTTGTACTCGGGGCACTCAACAAATTTGGCACAGTTTGTAGGATTTAAATGAACGGAAGTTCCATTTTTTTGTTGACTTCGTGGATACCCGGAGCCGGGTGGAGGCAACCGTGCCCCCCTACAAAATTCGCTTTCTACAAAACACCGACAAAAAGCGAAGAAATTCTGATATGTTTTCAAAATTAAAATTTGATTTCTGGAAGTATATTTTTTCAGTTTACTGGTCTAAATACACGATAAAACGATCAGCTATCATTAACCTTAATATAGTTTGTATTCTTGTTAGTAAATTTCAATAATATTCGCTTAGGTACAAAAAAATTAAATGTTTTGTTTACAACACATATTCATTTAATGATATATTAATCAATGGTTTAAAATAATGTAAATAGTTAGTACATTCTTATTGTAATAATGATTAAAAATTAAAATAAATTAACAGTTTATTAAAAAAAAAATATTTATAATAAGCATTGTATTATGTTAATAACATATATAATATATATTATACCTATCCCGGACAGCATTTTGTAATGATAATATTATAATATTATTATAATAACTTTATACTAGTATTATTCGTATTATACAATGTTATAATAATATTTTTAAACAACAAATTGCTGTCAGGCTGTATACGGTTCAGGTTTTTGAGTTTTGCTCGTTAAATAATATGAATGATATGTATGGAATTTTGAAATAACATGATCCATCTACACAGACGATTTGTTCAAAAATTAAGTGGTTCCTATAAATATGATAAAATTAAATATAATTTCAATTAAAAAAAATTGTATGTGACATTATGTGTAATCACAAATCACAATGCCAGATTAGTTTCATTCACAACATTGATAGTTGATACCTAATATCTATTCTAATACTCTATACACCAAATTTTTTGACTACCTACCCACCATTATGAATATTGAATAATAGTTTACTTTAGAAATTTAATTACAAAAAAAATAAAAATTATCAAAATATTATAGATAGCTGATAGGTAGGTACATATTATAAATTGTATAAACTTTTATAACTTCAGGCAACAAATATCTTATTCCGGCATCGTAATAAATAATAATTCATCATACATTCTTATTTTTTTATAAAACAATATATTAAATTACCTAGTAAATTTAGACTTAAGTGTTTTCAACTGAGATGTTTTTAATCCCTTATGATTGGTACTCCGTCCAATATTACTAGTTTAGGAAGCTTTCTAATACAATCACTACGCCATACAGATTCATCCAAACAGTCGTAAAGTGGATTTCCTGAGAATATTTTAATTATTTATAATAATGAGGTTAAAAAAAGATAATGCCTGTACAGTG